GAGTAGCATTATAACAGAACTTTCAAATGTATCTAGTATGATAAAACAGCACTGCTTTCCCCCACATACGCACGACCGGAAGGAGCGGAAGCAGTATCGGCCATGTCTGTAATTTGTAAAGTAAAAATTTCCCCGCAAATGACCTACCATATTTCGCCGAACACAGAGGTCCTGTGATAATATTAGTCCCGTGCGAATCGGCATCTCTGTGATCCGGCCAGCATTTGGTGGGTCGTATATCATTTTTCTAGGTTTTTGTTTGCTGTGCGCCTTTTTATCCATCTTCCGCGAAGAATGGAGCTGCGTTGGAGTGTTTGATAGTATTTTGGGTGCTGTCATCATATCGCTACACCATACAATTTGCAGAAAGAGAAAGCTGAAAAGGTTTTGAGGTTAATGTGTTACAAATAAATCAAGCATAAAGCTTGAGATATTATTTTAACCTGGTGAAATGTAAATGACACAGCGCACGAAACTATATTAGTTTCTTTTTTTTAAATCCATCTGGACAATAGAACGGGACTCTCAAAGCCTTGACATCCAGGTATCCGGGAGACAAGTCAGTAAATTCGAGTAAAATCACAGGCTTCGCTTATCCCGTGCGAATGCACCACACGAAATTCAGATGTGGGGGGGTAATTTCAAAATCACACAAGGTCCCCAGATAATACTAATTCCGTGCGAATAGGGCTTTTGTCTCTTTGTTCATTTTGAATACGCGCCCTCCAGCGGCGAAAATTACATATTGTGCCTTTAAAGGCGATGCCTGTTTTATTTTGTATGACTTCTGTTCTGGTTCAGCCTGAAGCTAAAACTCTCAAGTCTTGCACTGGCTTTGCTTATTTATTAATTAATTGCTGTGGTGTTCTTGAATGTTTTTCATTTGAAAAACAAGAAATAGAAAGGAAATGTGCCATATAATGTTTTTCCACTTTCAGAAACCTAAATCAGTTAATGTAATTGTTTTATTGTGTATAGTAAACTCATTACCAAAAGATCATGCGGCAGTTGTGATTTAAAGCTCAGTTAAATGGAAAGTAAAAAGACATTGTTAGACCTACCTGCTGTTTTTTTTCTCTTCCTGTATTTAGTTATAGCCTATTATAAGGATAATTTATTTTATGTATTTTATTTCATAGTAATAATAAGAGTAAATGCTTTAATAAACATTAAATTATATGATTATAAATATATTTAACAATAATATAATTAAGAATAAAAATAATACCTCTGTAAACTACTTGGGTAATAATGACAGATTTGACAAGGGTCTGCTTTCACCTGCTAAACTGCATATCGCTGAGCTCAAGTCTGTGGCTATAACATGGGGCACAAATGTCATAATAATTGCAATATATATTACCTAACGTGTGGGAAATGGAGATGGCATGTTAGCAAGGTTGGGATGAACAGCTAATCTTAAATATTACTCAAAGATGAGCCTGGTTTGTCAGAGGGTTGACGTCTGATGGCTGATCAGTAATAGATCAGATCTTCTTTCAATAAGTAAACTGGATCGAAATGTTTGTCCAGCCATTCTTGACCAAACTAAAAGAACAGAAATATTGGTGGTAAGTATGGTGAAAAGGAATGACACAAAGGAGTATTCAAAGATATTTAGTGGTGTGACTAAATTCCTTCAGTGGAAACGTGACAAAAATGCAGTACTTATTTTATAATCCGGTTAAGCCTTAGGCATAATGTATGCCTAGTTCTCTCTCTCATATCTAAAAAAGTACTTGTTTTCACATCTAATTCTTCGAAAATTCACATTGGAATCACATGTATTTACAGAATTGCGAGCAGTGTATTGACATTCTCAGCAGAGATGCTTCATAAGACAAGAAGAAAAACTTCCTCTCTCCTTGTTTTTTTAGCTAAGAATAATACTTTGTATTTGAATACCAAACGACAATGTGATGAAAGAACCACACAACGGCAAAATAACAGGAAAAAAACATCTACAAACATCTAGACATCTAGACAGAGACTGATTGACAGATGTAAAAAAAACTGGCTATTTACGAAAAACACAAACAAGTGATTCAGAAAAAGAGAAACAAGATGTCAACCTTACAATCATTTCCCATAGGCAAATATGCAGCATCGTGCGTGAAGTGGAAGCAGGCCAGGATGTTCGTAATTACACACACTAATCAATATTTTTCCTGGCAGCGGCGTTATCTGCACAAGACCGCGTAATTCAGACATGAGCTAACACAGCCTCATCAGGTCTCACGAAAGCTTCCAATTCCCCAGACACAAGCAGCAATCTAGTCCTGCTTCCTGTTCACCCCAACTGACCCGTAAGAATCCAGCATTACAACCTTCCTCCCCTGATGCTTGAAACATTCCCTGCAGCATTCACAAAAGTCACACACATACAGACACACATACACTTAACACTGAAATGAATATAAAACCTACAGTGCATAATTAATATTGATAAATAGTTTTCTCTATCAACAGTTCAAAGTTTGGAGGTGCTTGAGGCCGAAGAGAGGTCTTCACTTGAACAGCTTCAGAAAAGAATCTGCAAAAGCCAGTGATTCCAGCTCTAAGAAATATATCATCTATATAAATAATGACAATTTCATAAGCAATACAAAACAATTTTAAAGAATCCCAGATAAACCTTCCCAGTTGAGCTGGGTAAGTGCCATCAGTCATATTGGGTAAGAGGAGTGATTTCTTTAAGTTTTATGTTCGCATCTGGTTGATTTAGCCAGGTAACGCAGATGAGTTTGCAAATGCTCAACACACAGAGAGTAGACAGCCATAGTGGGCGCTTAGCATTCTGAGGGGATGTCTTCTTTTCCCTTTGTGAGTAAATCTTTCAAAGTGCTATGACTCCCAGTCATTCAAACTTCGGCGACGTATCCTTTGTAATAGCCCATATCCTGCCTCCTGATATGAGGAGCTCCAATTAGTTTGGCCCTTGCCCAGAATTGTCTATCAGCTGACACCTTGATGGCAGACAGGTGCATTGGCGAGCAGAAGACGCACTTTTCCCCGCAGGAAGTTGATGTGGACCTGAAACAGCTCTGAGATTGAGGATACTTTCTGCATCTCTTTGTCTTCTCCACCACTGGTTGGAGGTACATATTCCTGAGAGACAGGGAAATTAGTTAAAGAGTAAATATGCAGTGCAACTAATAGTCTGTAACAGCTTTATGTTTTAGACACACATATTCATGCTTTTACATTTGTATTGGCTGTAAGAAAAAAATCTGTAGAAAAACAGAAAAATTACTTGTACTTTTATGCCGGAACATTTTCCGTTAAGTTTCAGGGCATTTCCTTTCATTTTAAAAATGAAAATTTTCTGAATATGTACTCACCCTCAGACCATCCAAGATGTAAATTAGTTTGTTTCTTCATCAGAACAGATTTGGAGAAATTTAGCATTCCATCACTTGCTCATCAATGGATCCTCTGCAGTAAATGGGTGCCGTCAGAATGAATTCAAAAAGCTGATAAAAACATCACAATAATCCACAAGTAATCCAGTCCACCAATGAATGTCTTGTGTAAATGTTTTGTAATAAACTTAAATAAATAATTCTTTATTAAGATTTAAGTTTTTAACTTCAAACCATTGCTTCCAGCTAAAATACGAGTCATCTATCTATAATATTGCTTTCTCCGGTCAAAAAGTCGTCACGTCTGAATCAGGAGAGAAATATGCACAGATCAAATACAGTTTACAGGTGAAAACAGTCCAAAAAGTTCTAAACAAATATGTTGGTGCATTTTGATGTGAGAGGACAACAGAGGATGGACATTTTCACTGGAGGAAGCCTTATTATGGATTATGCTTAAAACACTGGATTTGTTGCTTTCCACTTTTTTTCATTAAATTGTTAATTGATGATTACTTGTGGATTATTGTGATCATCTGTTTGAACTCTCATTCTGATGGCACCCATTCACTGCAGAGGATCCATTGGTGAGCAAGTGATGTAAAGCAAAATTTTTCCAAATCTGTTCCAATGAAGAAACAAAGTCATTGATATCTTGGATGGGCTGAGGGTGAGTACATTTTCAGCAAATTTTCATTTTTGAGTGAACTATTCCTTTAACCCTTAAACATAATACAATACAATGCATCATTTCAAAATATGGCAAAAACACCTGTGAAAAATCAATAAAGAAAATTCCTTCATATTGGCGCTGTATATTGGACCCTTGTTTTTTAAGAATGTAGTCTCATAGCCGCTGTTTGTTTTAGCACTACGACACAATTACACAATCACCATAAAGTGACAAACATGTTGTCTTCCTGAAGTTGACAAGTTTGTAGCATACTGCTCTTGATTAGCATAACATCCATTTTCCTGTTCCTGTAGCTTGAGTGGTTGAACATGACGCTAGCAATGCCAAGGTCACGGGATTTGATTCCCAGACAACAGATTAGCTGATGTAATGTATGTGTCAAAACTATGTTCTTTTAGTTTCATCATCATGGACTTTTAGTTTTTCTCTAGGTTCCTATCTTCCTTGTTCAGTTTTCCTGCCACTCTTTAGTTGTCATGGAAATTCATTTAATCATCACAGGTGTTATTCATTAGTTCCCTAATTTGCCTTGTATTTATGTTGCTCTGTCTCACTCTTGATTTTGTCTGGTATCGTTTGTGTTATGCCCGGTTCAGACTACACGATTTTAGCCCAATTTTGCCACGATTTGCGTGACGTAGAGTGTCGTGGGGATTCGTAAACGACAATGGGCGTCGGGACGCAAGATTCCATCGTTTCAGCACGTGTAGTGTGTCATAATGGACGACAACCGATTCCGCGTCTGCGACGCTTCACGACAGAAAGACTAGCATGTTTAATTTTTTTTCCGTTATCCACGACGAGTTCTGTCCCATTGGTGACGTTGACCAATAGCAGCACTAAAGCTCTTTCATACACCAGTTTCAAACATGGCAAAACGAAAGAGAGATGATGGTGCTGCTAGGTGGAATTATGAGATGGAGGAAAGGTTCGTGGAGCTGTGGCAACAGTACTCCTGCCTGTATGATGTGTCATCGAGGGACTACCACGACAGAACAAAGAAAGAAAAATGCTGGCGAACTATAGCGGAAGTGCTTCAGCAATGTTTACACTCTTGTTTTTGGAAGTCAGTCGCTAGTTCCGCCTTCTCGATGACATCACGTGCGTCATTAAAGACGGCACGCGATGAATGGTCGGGAAGCAACGTGTAGTCTGACATGTTTCTTGTCCACGACACGACAAGATTTTAGGAGTCAAAATCTTGTAATCTGACACAGTGACTATCGTGACCGACAAAAATATTGTGTAGTCTGAACCCGGCATTATACACAACTGTCTTGCATGTGGCTGATCTTCGGAGTAATTTATTAAACTTTGTATTGCTTTATATTCATCTTCGTCTTCCTTGGACATTGTGACAGAATATCAGACTGCTCTGGATTGGGACGAATTACCATGCCGTATCCCGTAGACCTCCCAGACACAACAGGACTTGACTGGAAGGAGGCCGTCATTAGGTGTCTGGAGACCGTCTTTCCCTGATCCAGAGCACCGCCAGTCCCACAGCCCAGCCAACCATCAACACGCTGCGTGGAGTGTCTGCCAGAGCCCACCGCGACTGAAGAGCCAGCGTGAGAAGAAGCGACTGAGCCTGTCATCGCCCTGAAGCCTGAGCTGATTAACCAGAGTCTGACCAGGTGTGTGAGCCTGCAACACTGCACGTGCCGGAGGGAGTATTAGTGGAGTATGGAGTCTCCTGTGTTCCCTTCCAGCCTTCCTCTATCACCTCATCTCTATATTTCTGCCAGTTCTGCTGCCCTGTCTCCGCTGGTTCCTGTAAGCACCTTAGCTCACCCTCAGTCCGCACCATCCTGGAGCCTTGTCTCGCCTCGGGGCTTCTTTCTCCAGCTCTGCCTCGGCGTGAAGATCCCCTGTCTCCAACTCCAGCCTCCGACTCCTGAACTCTACCTTGGCCCTTCGACCCATCAGCTCCACCTTGGATCATTGCTTCCTCGTCTCCACCATGGCCCATCATCTCACTGGCTTCACCGGGCTCCCTCGTCCTTCTGGCTTCACCTCAGTTAGTCGTCGACGCTCCTTTGCTATGGGATTCCATCCCTCTGGCTCCGTCGGGCTCCTCCTTCCCTACAGATCCTCCTGGGTCCACAGTTGCTTCAGCTCCTCTGTGGTCTTCCAGATCCCTGCCTCCGCCTCAGTCAGGGAGCCGTCGACTCTGCCTTGGCCCTCCGAACCCATGGTGTCACCCTGGCTCTTCGGCTCTGTCTCCACCCTGGGCTCCTCTTCCATTGGCCTTGTCTCCAGCAGTCGGCCCCCTGCTGTCATCAGCCTTACCTCCACCATGGCTCCTCCCTCTGACTCCGCTGGGGGCTGATACACTTGCATCTCTCTGGGTCCTGGGCAGTAGGCATTCTCCATCTTGGCCGCAGGGGTCTTGTCGTCGTCGTCTGCCACCGGTCACTGCTCTGCCCATCATCAGGCCAGTCTCCTTTGTTCTCCAGGCTATCACCAGCCCTCCACCACATCCTCGTCCAACTCTAAAACCCCCTCCATCCAACCCTCTTCTCATTTGTTACAACGCGAGGTCATGCCTTGCCAGAGGGGTGTACTGTCACAATTATGTTCTTTTAGTTTCTTCATAGACTCTTAGTTTGTTTTCTCTAGTTTTCTGCCTTCCTTTTGTTCAGTTTTCCTGCCACTCTTTTGTTGTCATGGAAATTCATTTAATCATCAAAGGTGTTATTCATTAGTTCCCTCATTTGCCTTGTATTTATGTTGCTCTGTCTCACTCTTGATTTTGTCTGGTATTGTTTGTGTTATACACAACTGTCTCGCTTGAGTTATTTATTAAACTTTTGTATTGCTTTATATTCATCTTTGTCTTCCTTGGACATTACGTGACAGTATGTATATTGAATGTAATGAACAGCTTGAGCTTATTGTACAATTGCTTTGGATAAAAGGGTCAGCCAAATACATATTAATTCAGTTCTAAGTGTATTTTCTTAACCATTATGTTAATGAATCATATAATTTCACAATTTACACTACGGTTCAAAAGTTTGGTCAGTAAGAATTTGTTGTTTTTAAATTAAATTTTGTTCAGCAAGGACACATTAATTTTTTCAAAAGACATCTATTTCAAGTAATTGTTCTTTTTAACTTTTTTTCAACAAAGAAACTAGAAGAAAAATCCTGATTTCCACTGTTTTCAACATTGATAAGAAATGTTACTTGAGCAGCAAATCAGCATATGAAAATGATTCTGAAGGATCATGTGACACTGAAGACTGGAGAAATAACTGCTAGAAATTCAGCTTTGCCATCACAGGAATAAATAACATATTAAAATAAACTGTTATATTAAACTGTAATAACATTTATTATGACTGTTTTTATTATATTTTTGATCAAATAAATGCAGCCCTGGTGAGCATAAAAGACTTCTATAAAGACTTTTAAAAACCTCACAGGTCCCAAACTTTTGAATGGCAATTTGTATGTTGAAATATTATTTGAAACGTTCCCCAAGGGACCTGTGTAACTCACCGGTATGCTGAGACTTCGCAGCACTTGTCTGATGCTGGCAATGTTGCTAATACTGGCATCTATGTGGGACTGTAGCACATCAGTCTGATTAGATGCCTGTAGTGAGCTGATGGCCTCGTTCAGCACATGTATGCCTGACTGGACCTCTTGAGCTTGCTCCTCTATCTGAAGTGACACACAGAATATATTCATAAAGGAATGTTAATACTAAATGTGTTAACCATGTGGTATTAATTTGGGTACCGTCTATATTATATTATAATCTTTACAACAGGAATATGCAGGAAAACTTACATTCATCGCTTCCCAGACATCAAAATCTACTCTGGTCAGAGGAACAGTGAAGTTTGTTGCAGTGCTGCAAGCATCCTTACAAGCTCTCTGTGATTGCAGAAAAATTCAAGTCACATTTATTAATATAGCACTATACACAATAGAGATTCAAAGCAGCTTCATAGTACTACACAAGAAACTAACAGTATTAATGTTGCAAACTTCTTCATGAATGAATTATGATATCAGTGAATCAATGAAATGAAATACAATTTCAGCTGTAAAGCAGCTCTAAAAAGACAATAGTATAATTATTCAGCTCACTTTAGTTCAGTATTGCTTCATCAAATTATGAAACAAGCTTAATTCATCTATAAACAGCTCTACAGAAGCAGCAGTGTCATTATTCATCTCAAATCAGGTCAGTGTTGATTCAATTCATTTCAATAACAGTATCGATTATGAAACGAATTCAAATCAGCTATAAAGCAGAAGACAATTGTCACTGCTGAATTCAGTTCAGAGTCATGTGATGTTCAGTGAGAATTATTTCAGGGGTTGTTCACACAGGACATTATCTAGTGTTCAAAAACAGCTAGAGGGAGCACATGAGAAGAACGCGTGTCATCTTTAACCTGACATTGCAAAGATGTTTGCAATTGCATAGATGAAATTCAAGAAAATGAAGGCCTTAGAATTCCAATTAAAAGTGTTTATAAAATCACAGCTTCAGCCATCATGTGCATGTCACTCACCAAAGCAGCCTCTGCATCCCATGCCTCCTTAATGAAATGGTCTAGGACGCGCAGGTCGCAGATGGGGCGTAATGGGGAGGACAGGCCTGGACAGGTCCACTCCAGCACCATCAGCAGTAAGGCAAAGAGTCCTGGCAGACACAGAACAAATGAAGATCAGTTTAAAACTAACTCAATCTTTGGATGAGATTAAAAACTAAACACCAGTTTTACACTTCTGCTATCTAACAAAGACTAGCAGCACTAGCCAGAACAACCAGAATCCTGAACAGTTTCTTTCCACAGGCTGTCAGATTTAATATAACCCACTCTCTAAATCCCCTTCCTGCCATAGTCATTGTTATACGGACACCAGCAGTGACTTCAAGACTCTTAAACAAGCAATATAATAAGCAGACAAAGCAAAACTGTACCAGGAGAGCAAATATAAGAGAAACAAATATTAAAAATATCGTACAAATTAAAAGGCGAGAGTAATTTACAGTATTATGCATAAACTAGTTTAATATAAAACATTTAAAGTTTAATGAATAAAACCAGTCAAATTACTTTGAATTGTAATAAATGAACAAATACATTATTTAAATTTTTAGTTTAATTAAAGGTTAACTATGCTTTATGTTTAATAACATGGGTTGTAATGGATTTAATATTAATTTGACATTATTAAATAACTACAGGTGTACATACTCATTGAATACAATACTCAGTGTATACATCCATAACTGTGTAAAATCTAATTTATTGTTTGCAATTTACTGACATTTACTTCATTACATCTATGGATTTAGGAAAGGCTTTTATTCAAAGCAACTTACAAATGAGGAAAAACACAAACGACTGGTCAACAACATATTTTGAGTGAAGAAGAATACCCAGATGTTTCATATTCTGTCAAAATTGTTCACTGAGTCTGTGTTAAATATCTGCACTCTAGTTTTTAGGTGGCAATTACATCGCTCCATTGCTCTGTAATTTACAAAAACTGCAATGAACCCAGCTGACTGTCTTAAAGAGATTAAAGCAAATGTGCTATTAGCGCATGGTAACAAGACTTGCCACAAGGTGGTGCACTGCTACATTTTGGTAAAGAAATATAGGAAGTGATTTTGTATTTATATGAAGTACTTCTACTCATCTGGCTCCTGAACCAGACCTTTCCTAGTCAATGGATGAACAGAAACGGAACTCAACCACCCCATCTGTTTAAGCAGCCATCCATTTTCATTTGTCTCCAGGCCCGTTCACATCACGAAGAACAGCAATAAAGATAACTATAACAATATCTATATTAATTTCCACACCAATGCATAATAATGTTCTCTTTATTATAAGGCCATGCTTCAGTTATGTCATGTGCTGCTTTAAAAAGTGATTCCAACTGTATCATTCTTCTGTCATTATCGTTAGAGTTGTGGTGTGAACTTTCCTAAATTCATAGAATTAAAGCCATTATTAAAACTTCATAGTTATTTGGTACGTATTTGGTATGAACGGGCCTTCATACTTTATGACGTCTAGATTAAATAAGAAGTGTCACTCTGTTGCTTTTTGCTCTACAACTTTAGCATGTCTTTATTTGTAAATGGGATAGATTTTTATGATGTGCATGCTGTAAATAACTATTTGATTGCATTCTCTGTCAAGACCAATAAATAAATTACTGTAAAAATCTAACTTAGGTAAACAAGCCAATAAATAAGATAATCAAGAAACCAGTCACACCAACAACAAGATTTATATAAGAAGCATCTGAAAAGCAAAAAATAAATAAATAAATAGAGAAAAATTATATTCATTAATAGACGCATTTATGTAGATCGGGGCGCATTCCCTTCAGAAACAACTGTAATCCACTGCGAGTTCAGCGGCTCAGATGTGGGGAGTAAATGACGACTGCTATGTTCATTATTACATCCAACAACATAACACCTCAATCGCTTAGGAGTCATTCTTGTCTACATCTGCTCCAGCGGTGAAACAATGGTGGACTGATGACAGCTCACTCAGGGCGGGTCTAAGGTAAGACACCAGTCCAGTCTGTGCTGAAACGCTACTGTCAATCAAACTATAGTGGGAGGGGCCTGTCTGTGTGACACACAGACAGGCATCTGAGATCAACTCGATTTGAGAAAGGGGAAAACATTTAACCAGATTTTTAAAAAAACACTGGGTGGATTTTTATCATTATAGGGTGGTTGTGTACACACACTGCCAACACACATTTCAGTTCAAACAACTTGTAAAAGTGCATGTAGCATCCTATGACCCCTTTAAGAAAAAGACAACACACGAAACATGGAGACACACTCACACAATGCTGAATCTTCTGTCTTTCTGGAATAAAGAGACAGATTACACAGAAATAGTGTTTGTGTATGTCTGGTCTGCACCATCTAATCCTCTATCACATGCGTGTCAGACTGTTTGAAACCTAACGTCGGAGTTCAAGCAAAAATGAAACGATAAAAATACATATTTGCAGTGGCAACAAATGGTAATTCTAATCTTTTCCTATTGCTTCCTAAGCCATGAGGTTCTTCATCTGTACTGCTGGTGTACTTTAGGGCAGATAAGTACTGCGTGATAAGTATTCATCCTATGTAACTAGTCTTGTGATATTCTAGCATTTACTTCTTATTGGAAAATTTTCAATGCAGTCTTTCAGCTTTAGCGGGCTATGATGACGCAATAGGACTATTATCAAAGCAGATGTACCGTCTGGAGATGCTCTGATGTTGAGCACATATTATGAAGAACTCCAGGTTGGGTCAAAATTTAGAGTAGAACATCAATGATCAGAATTTTCTTCAGACTTTGAGATAAGAAAGGATGTGATTCCTCTTTTGGCCTCAGCTTGACAAATCACTTTACTGCTGATCTTGGCAAAGAATGGTGTCTTGTCACGAAGGCAACAGAAGTTCTGTTGACACCATGACCCAATGAAAAACCAAGAACTGTCTGAATGCTACATAATGCACGTCCACCATGTAATCAGACCATCTCTAACAGCTTTTCCAGGAACTAGACCTATATTTTTTCTGACCAACACTCCAGCATTTTGCAGTCACAAAATTTAATTAAGTGTGGCCTCCTAAACTTAAAAATATGAGCATAGAGCTCTATTTATTTTAGGCAGCCCTCCATCTCTCATTCAGTTACAGTGACCCAGCTACTACAAGGTCACTTAGAGACCACCATGCATGGATGCTGTTACCTTCACCCATAGATACATTTGTTGTAGTTATACTTCCGTTCAAAAGTTTGGGCATCAATGAGATTTTTTTTATTTTTTTGAAAGAAGTCTTTAATGCTCACCAAGACTGCATTTATTTGATTGAAACTATAGCAAAAATCTATTGTGAAATATTATTACAATTTCTTTGTTAATATATTTTAAAATGTAATTTATTCCTGTGATGAGATGACAAAGTTTAATTTTCAGCAGCCATTACACCAGTCTTCAGTGTCACATGATCCTTCAAACATAATTGTAAAAACGCTGATTTAGTGCGTTTCTTATTATTATCACGGTTTAAAAACAGCTGTGCTAATAATATTTTTGTATAGATTGTGATACATTTTTTTCAGGATATTTCGTGTAACACAAATATCCATTTTTGTGAAATTGAAAATTTCTGCAACAATGTAAGAAGTCGTTACTGTCACTTTTGATCAATTGTATGTATGCTTGCTCAGTAAAAACGTTATTTATTTTCTTAATCTATATACTAGAGACTTTTAGACAATAAAAGAATTGAAGTTGATTATGTTTTCATACTTCTTGAATTACAACAATTAGGCAATGAAAAGACAATAAACGTAATTATTCACTTGCAGGGTCTCAGATTCAAACAGTCTTGAGGCAGTATGTTGATTTTAAGAGAATCAACCTCAAAGTCATTCAATGAAGCATGTGCTAACTCTACATAACCTTGCACAAACACATACACTTGACCTTACCCCTCTGAATAAGTAAATGATAGGAAGAGGGGGAGAGACTATATCCCATGCCTTACTCTCCAGCAGAGGGAACAGCCAAATACATTGAGTGTCTATGAGTTTAAGGGCTTGAAGTTAGGATCTTAGCCAATGTTAAAGGTAACAGAGAAAGTGCCAACATTAAATGCCAACAACTAGTGTCTATTTTTTGCCTTGTAAGAGAGAGCACTGTCACAGAGGCAAGTCTAACCTTCTATAAAACCAAGGACCTTGACTCTAAAAGTATAAATTTGATACATTTCAGCATGTATATTTTGAATGTGAACATATATATACACTACATCATTAAAACAGCAATACGTGTATTTTGGCTATAGGAATTCACTGAAGCTTTAACACAACAAAGAAGAGCTCAACAGGAAACTACAATTAAACCTGATCTACAATAATTCTCATAGCATAATTTTTTTTCTTACAGGAAAAATCTCTGGAGAAGCCATTTGTGATCATCCCATGATCTGCGTTTGAGTTTTGTTTTGTTTTTCTGCAAAGTCACTGTCTCATTTTCAGAACAGAATTTGCTAGTCCATTGTCAACTTTCGATGATGCAGCAATTTTACAATGAGTCAGCTCTCATTGTAATGTAAAACTCATGCTTAATAAAGATGCCAGGTCATGCATGGGAAAGTCCAACACAAATAGATTGCAAGTTAGTAATGCTGAGAGCTCAAAACAATCCCCCTGACTTCCTATGTGAATAATACCTGTTTTCTGATTAAAAAAATTATAATAAAAAGTGATGTGATTGATCACTATGGGAATCAGAGTTTTAAATTAATTTATTAGTTTTGATTTCTAAATGCACTACATTATAATTGCAGAGATAAATTGCCCCAAAACACTTTCGCGTAGCCTATATCATGTTCACTTTCGTAGTGTCAAAATAATATGATTTGTGGCAATTTGCATTTTGCCTCTCGTCCCAAGTTAATAAACGTTTAACGTATTGCTTGCTATTCATTGCACGAATTTTACTCGACAAAACAACAAAAACACAGTTTTCCACTTGTGTTGCTAAATACACGTTAAGACAGTAAGAATCAATTTTATAAAAGCGTAATTATCTTACCTGAACCGTGAAACATTCGCAAAACAACTTGGCATTTTTCAAACACATGATTAAATATGACAAATATCGCGCAAGGACAGCTTAACTGGTGGCACAAAAGACATGGACAGGCTGGAGCACAGACGCATCCAGTCATACGCGCTGCTTCCAAGTACTCTGTGGGACGCACACGCGATCAAGTACAATGACACCGTTCCTTCCCATGAGGCACATACTGCGATCCGTTCGGCTGTGCAGCACCCTATTGGCAAGCTTTCTATGTTCTATGAATGTAAATCCCCCCACTCCACGAAAGCGCACCGCGACTAAGGAGAAAAGGTGGACCGCTCTCATCAATGTTCAGAAAGAGGTGGAGAATGGACTTGTCACCCATGAAACAGCTACAAAATGTTAAACCTCAGGCGGGATAAAAAGGCTGAGGCCGTTTAATTTACTCACTGGTTTTCTGCATCTCAGAATCTAGTCCTCACAGGATCCTCTCCGTTTCGTCCATAGCTCCGTCTATTGCCCGTTAATTGCAACCGAAGCTTTTAAGGTATTGTCAGCACTCATCGGTTCCGTAATGCTTATTTATTTATTTTCAATCCATGACTTTGAAAATAAAAATAAAATATTACAGTCTCGTGATAGTTATCAGATCAACTTCCTGTTTTGGAAGGGACTGGTGTTTCATTGTTACTCACATAATATCTGTTTTCTCAAAGCAAATAGCGCACCAAAAAAAGTTAGCACGGCTTCCTCTCAAGGCAATTTACAATGATCCTTTAACTGCATTTTCCACTGTATACTTCCAGACAAGGGTGGTAACACAAAGAAATGAAACAGTACAACTATGCATCCCTGTATGCTTGTTAGTACCCCAGGTTGGTATTTTTATTTTTTTTTGAATAGCAGTTCTTCATATTCATTCAGCAAACCTTTAAATTTGCAAGAATTATAGGTCGTAAAGAACCAAAGACTTAAACTACTTCAGTCTGTGTGCATTGAATTTATTTAATACACAAGTTTCACAATTTGAGTTGAATTACTGAAATAAATGAACTTTTCCACGACATTCTAATTTATTGAGATGCACCTGTATATGCAGTTTAAATATAGATAACAGGTTGTATGCCAGAGGTAACCTAGCACCTTGGAGATCTTAAGCCAACGAGGTAAGTCAAACTAATGACTGAGACTTCAGTTTTGCAACCATCCAAGATGCTCCAGGGGAACTATCCACACAGATGTTAAAAAAACAAGTAGTATAAATAGGTAACTTTCAGATAAAAACAACATTTAGAGGTTATTTTGCAACTTTAAAATTAAGTTACAAGTTATGTTATACATTTGGTTCATCTAATCCTGTCATTCACATCTTAAGGATATATCTGTCACTTTATAAGCAGCATATTCCAGCATCTCCCCACCACACCCACCCTTATTTCTTATATTTATATTAATTAAGTAGGGGAACTTAAACATCACCCTCCACCATGAATCGTGAAATCTGTTTACTTTCATTACTCTCCACGAATACTAGAGGAACGTAAAGGTTCTTTGTCTGCATCTATGGTTCCATGAAGACCCTTTAACATTCATGGAAACTTTCCATTCCATAAAAGGTTCTTTGTAGTGGAAAAAGGTTCTTTAGATAATTAAAATGTTCCTTACACTAAGAAATTATTATTATTTTTTTTAAGAACTATTCAATGAAAGGTTCTGTGGGGAACCCAAAATGGTTCTTTTATGGCATCGCTGTGAAAAACCATTTTTAAAACCTTGATATTTAAGAGTGAACTTTATTTGTAGACCAAATTGTGAATCTCTGGAAATTGTTCCGGATACCATTTGGAGTTGAACTAATGGATGAACTTTGTATAGCCTTTCAATAACTCTTACCCAGGCTCTTGAAGTGTAATCTAAAATCAAGGAGAAAATGTACCAGAACTACTTTATATTGTCTGGTAAATTGACAAAAAGCATTAGGAATATTACGTCAAATGTGTTTAAATGTAATTGGCACAGAATAGTGTAATCCAGGAAGGTAAAGTGAGTCTATCCAGGAAAACATACTGGGTCACTGAGAAGGCAAAGAGTGTACGGAGTTCAAAGCTGCTGAATTGACCCTCAGGGATCAATAAAAATTATCTATACATCTCTAGAGGGCATTCACAAGAGAGAATCTCTATGGGTTTTGTCTAAGGCACAAAGCTTACTTGTGTGGCTTTTTTTTTTGTCAAGAATACTTACAGCCAAAAATACTAGGCTGAATTACGTGTCAGTTTCAGTAGTGAGTCTTGAGTAAGTTACATTTTTTACGTGCAGTTGTATACTTCACGTGCTCTTTCAGGCAGGTCTGTTTGTTGAAGGATGACAGAATAGAGGTTGTTTGGGCAACAGTTGTACAATGTATTTATTTCCAAGTATACATGTACTCATGAGGCCCAACTCCTCTCAGTTCTAAGGATAATCAATAAAAAAATCTCTCTGCTTAAATGCTTCTGCAGATATATTTTTTTCTTGTTTATAAAATATAATCACCACAAACCTCTTTGCTGTTTTACTTTTAATATCTATCGCTCTATATTTACTTCTAATATCTTTACCTGTTTGCAAGAGATATTAGACACAATCACTGAATAATATTTAATCTGTTTCATCAGAATTATAAGTTGTTTACGCACACACACACCCCAGTTCTGTATCGCTTAGACTCTCTGTGTTAGATGTCATGCCTCTGCAGCTCACAAAACTAGAAAAACAGTTTGGATATCGCTGTATATTATTTCCTCTGTTTTAGTAAACACCACAATAATAAGGTGTTTGCACACACGTAGACAAGTTCTGTATTGCCTACAGACACCATGTTTGTTGTCATGGCTCTAAATGTTTCCAAATCATTTGTCGCCTTGTTTGATCAAACTACTGTTTGCTCTGCTTGAGCCAAACTGAGAGCAAAGAGAGACAAGGTACGTGCTGTGGAACATGTGTGATGGCTGGGGAGGGGGCGAGGGCGGGGGAGTCTCGGCATAGTGACTCCGAGGCTTGGACCCTGTCATTGAAATTGGGATGATTAAAAAAAAGACAGGGGTTATGTGTGGGAGGAAGACCCAAGGACACCCTCCCCTTTATACTTGTAAACAAAGACAGCCAGAAGCTGGTGATGCAGAGATGAGGAGAGAGAGCGAGTGAGAATAAGAGGGAGATCTGCATAGTAAATAGAGAATGACTGTCTTGATTCCTGAATGGAAAGAGAGCCAGATCAGGCTCCTTGTTTGAGGTCCAGTGGCGCGCCACAAGACAGGAAACTTACATAAAAGAATAGGGGACGGGGAGGTCGGAGCCACTAAGGTGGCCTGTCGGAAGTTATTGTTTCTGAATAAGAGGCTTCCAGAATGAATAATCGTGAGTTCAATGGGTAAAGCTTCCTTTCAGATTGTTTGCCCTGTTAGTGATTCTCTTTATACTCCATAGGGTATACATGGTATGTACGGTATATAAACACACTGTTACGTACTGCTCCTAGACTTGAAAGGTTGGAGATCCAAACGCAGCTTTTATTGGGACAATCCAGAAACGTAATCCAAAATACAGGCAACAGGTCAATACACAGGCAACAATCCAAACAAGCAACGAGGCAGGAAACACATGCAAAAGGGTAATCCAAGAGATTGACACTAAAGACTGGTGTAAAATCTGCTGAAAATTCAGCGTTGCCATTTTAGGAATAAATCACATTTTAAAATATATTAAAATAAAATAAAATAAAAATGTTATTTCAAATGGTAATAATTTGTAACTTATTTTTGGTCAAATAAATGCAGTAAACTGATAAAAAAATACAATAAAACAGTAATATTATGAAATATTCTTACAATTTAAAATAACCATTTTCTGTTTTCATATATTTAAAAATATAATTTATTCCTGTGATGGCAAAGTTGAATTTTCAGCTGCCATTACTCCAGTTTTTAGTGTCACATGATCCTTCAGAAATCATTATAATATGCTGATTTGGTGTTCAATAAACGTTTACAACGTTGAAAACCGCTTTTACTGCTTAAAATTTTTTGTGATATACAACCATTCACTCTCACCACAGATTGGGGTAAAGAAGAGAAAAGAAATTAATAGTTTTACATTAAGCGAAGTCACGTTACATTGATGAAAAGTGACTGTAAAGACATTTATAATGTTTCAAACGATTATATAAAATGAATGCTGTTCTTTTGAACTTTCTATTGACCAAAGAATCTTGAAAAAAATGTAGTACGGTTTCCTCAAAAATATTAAGCAGCAATAATAATAAAAACTATGAATAATAATTGATAATTGAGCACCAAATCAACATATTAGAATTATATCTGAAGGATCATGTGACATTTAAGAGTAATGGCTGCTGAAAATTCAGCTGGCTTTAATTTACATAGAGATGTATTGCAAAGTGAAGCTCTAACTCTGTTTCAAGATAAGGGTCTGCAGGCCTAAAGAGGAAACCTGCAGATTATTTGGCAGTGTTCTCCCACACACAGCCTGCTGGTGGCCCTACTGCTCTAAACAACCTGACTGATTGTTTCAGGAAGACCCTTTCCTCTCGCCCTGGACCCCGCTACCCACCCCTTCATCTTCAGCTATAAATATCATACTGCTCTTTGGGAGGTGTTGGGATTTTAATAGACTGGAAAGAGCTTCATTTACTGATAAAATCTGCACTTTACAATGATAGACTGCCATATAAGGATATTTCTAGCTTTGGCCAGCAGAAACAATAGAAATAGAAATCTTCATTATCTTTGGCACTTCAACACAAGTGAATGACAATCTTTATTTCAGAATTAAATCATTATTTTTCTTCATTCAATCAAAATGTATATTCAATAAATTTCAGTGTCATTTCACATGACATCAAACAACCATCTTTCACCAGCTTAACAATTTTTTCCCCCAATGCATATTATTTGCCTTTTGTACAGCTATGCTGATTATATCCAAAAAAATGCTATAAATTAGTTTGCTCCTGCAAATGTCAAATAGTCTCTGGACATTTTTTCCCCCAAAGCTTTCATTTAGTGCAAATGAGCATTAGTCAAAAACATGCTGTGCATAAAGTCACATAGTGTACATTTTAAAATGAGTTAATAGGCTTGCGTGTAATCCGCTACCACTGACATAGTTATTGTTGTTAGATCAGTACTCCTTGTTCTGACTGTTGACCAGTCTTATACAGCAGATACATGCTAATCATTTCACTATGCCAAACTCACAGTTAAACCATTCAGAGAATGACCAACAGCCTGCCAATAGACAAAAAGAAATCTTGAGGTCATTTCATGAATGAAGACAGAAGTACCTAAACAACTGCTGAAGCTAACAGAGAAGCCAATAATGCAGTCACAAGTGTCTTACATAATATTACTTAAATGTTCACAATTACACATCAACGAAAATGTTAAACCTGTGTGATTAGTAAGGTTTTGGCAACAAACATTTTTCAAAAAGTGGCAACACTTAAGTTAGTAATTCCTGTACACTATTTGCATGCAATGTTTAAACAATAGAGTGTACACATAATTATTCTCAATAAAATCTCAGAAAAGGATTCAACAAGAAAAAGTTGGATGCAATAACTGTGCAATTCAGTGTGACACTGCCTGCCTCCACTCACCTACAGTTATCCATACAGTCTTGTGTCCAGCATCAATCATAACTACACACTCACAAACCGTGTGACCTCTTTAGGTACAGGGTTTTATTCTTTCCATTCTAATCACTGTATTTTGCATCAGAGGCTTGATATTTAGGATAGCTTTGGAATGTCTTCCATCTCCAGATTTCTGTCTGATCTTAAGTGTTCATCTTTTGTCTATCTCAAGACAAAACATTCAATTTCAGGCCAGCATTCACATATCCCTTATCATGCATTGTTTATCGTAGTCTATTCTTTGACCTTGTGATCTGTTTTGTGCATGCTGATGTTTTTCTGTATTTTTATTATACCTGCTGTGTTTTTGACCTTGTTTTAGTAATGGTTTACATCCCTTTCAGTTTAATGGCTCTTATCCATCCACCAAAGCCAACTGTTAATAAACCATAATATATATTTATTGGGGGAATTATTTTTTTTACTTCACAGAAAATGTTAAATAGATGATTTAACATTAATAATGATACCTTAATCCCTGCATTTTATTTAAAAAATAAATATTTGGTTTGGATTGTACAGCTTCTATTTTCTATCATTTCACAGTATGCTTTTATGGTAAATGCACAGGACATTTCGATGTAAAACAAGTCATTTAATTTAATGATTAAAAGAACAAAAAGCCATCTCATGCAAAAGCCTCATATAGCAATATGCAAGAACTAATCCTACATAATGGGTCGAAAACTGTTTACCAAACCCTTTGTTTATACTCATACAGGTGGTTTTCTTTTCCCTGACAATGGCATCCAGTCTATCCAGAGATATTTTGGGGTTTGTATCTGCTTTGGGACCTTTATTAGCAGAGTGATATTACTTCTGCCAGTGTTGTTTCTCTGGTTGCATAGGTTTTTGTTTATCTTCATGTGTATGGGAAATTGACATAGGAGGATGCAGTCTGAATTTGTGTTTCTGTCCATAAGGAAACAACTTCGAGAAACAAAAAGACTGTAAGCGCCAATCAATTTTTTTAAGATAGCGACAGAACACACAACAAGGGGAACAATCAAAATGTCAAATATATTATTTCCCAAAGAATTATTCAAGACACGTGATCTTTAAACAATCAGTTCAGTAGTTGTAACATGATGCATTACAATACAACAAATGCAATGCACATAATGTCGATCACAAGGTTGGCATTTATTGCATAATCAATAAATAAAAGTGTGTAACAGAACATAGCTTACCTTATTCATAGCACTGACCAAAGCAAGCTGTGCTCTCCAAAGCCAGAGTGGAATAGATCTAAGGATATATCTCCAAAAGCACTGGCTCCCCCTGCTGACGCACTGACGATATCGCTCCAAACACTTGTGGCAATGTAATGGTGCCTGTTTTAGGGGATACTTAGGGGATGAGGTTTTTTGTTAAACATGCAAGACGAATTTCAATAATTTATCTGCAGCTACCTGATAAATAACAGCCAGTGCTTTAAAGAATTAAAAGAGAAAACTAACAACAATATGACATGCACGTATACTGTCCGTTGGAAATCAGCACTAAATATAGGCTACACAGCGGCACAGCAGAAGAAATATTTTAGCCGAGTTGTGAATGTGACGAGAAAAAGATCATGCACAGCGTCTTTCAATGAGCTGCATAACAACCACACGGAACTGAAAATCGAATCACGAACAAATATATAAACTTATTAACCAGTTCTTTTAATTAATCATTCATTAAGTCGTTTACATGTTTGGATCAGGCCATCAATCCTTTACCAAAAGAACTCAGCATTTACTGTTTCCACATTTCACTCACTTAGGCTTTTACTTTCAGTGATGTCCGAAGCTGTTTCAGTGTAATTGCTGAATGGTTGTTCATAATACATTAAAGATTCACATTTGCAACACAAAGACTTTTCCGCCCGTGGGACGAACGGTTTAAAGTTGGCCCCTACGGTGAGGAATGTTTCGGTTCGGTTCGGTTCGGAAAGGTTTACGCCTACAAACCGTTCTGCCGCCCAGATGGTGGAAAAGCGGCTGATATAGATTTAGCCTTTATCGTAAATAAATTGGGAGAAAATAACAATTTAAACAATTTAAATTTATAAAACCTACGGAGCGTTCCTGTTTTTTATCTGTAGTTTCATAGGCCTACATCTAGCCTAATTTTAGTTTATCTTTTATCCAAACTGTTTAAATTTAAATGTCAGGGGTGTCAACAGTAGGCCTACTTATTAGTTCTACAACACCCAGAGCTGTGTTTATAGACTGGTGACCAGATTTCTGAAATGAAAACCGGGGACATTGCCTAGTTCAGTGATCAAAATATCACTGAAATCTCACATGTGATAATCTACCAAATTAAAAAACGGGGACAATATGTGTATGTTTTTTTTGTTTTTGTTTTTGTTTCCAAATATTAATATCATAATTAGCAATTACAATGATGTTTAAGAATCAAGCTTACCCTGGTTTATTAATAGGACTACAATTCTCCAAAAATCACACTATGAAAAATAAATAGCATCTATTTCAAATAGTAAACAGATCAAAACAGGATTATAACAAAATTATGACTTAAAAAAACACTAAAAATAAAACAATAAAAATTAGAACATATGATAAATAAAACTGTATTTAACAAATATTTTTGGAAATGGATCTTTACTACCCCTAATCAGGCTTATTTTGCATTTTAGGATAATTTTGACCACAAAGTATGTGCTTTCTGCAAGTGTAATTGTTTAGTTTATTTATTTATTATTATTATATTAATTAATATTATTATTATTCATATCAGAGTTGTGACGGCGGAAGTTGAATGAAGATGAATGTTTAATACTGTGTGCAAAAAAAATCCCGCCTTACCTTGTTATAAAGTGCACACAAACAGTATTACTTTGTTTTAACATGTCATGTATATAGTTAGTATGTGACTACCTTGAAACCAATAACGGTGTATCTCTTTTGATAATTGACGATAATAGCGTTCTGCTCTAGTCCCAAGTTCTTCTTGGCTAAAGTAGCAGCGCCCTCTGTTGGTGAAAGTAATCGTTGTTTTGAACGGGCTGTAAAACGGGGACATTTCCGGGGACAGGACACCAAAAACCGGGACTGTCCCCGGAAAACGGGGACGTCTGGTCACCCTATTATAGACCATATTCGTTGATAATTAAAAGTTCATTATTATCACGCTTTTATGTGTGTAAAACAGAAAAGATCGCGAATTTGAGGCGGAACTGTTTTAGAACGAGCTCATACACCACAGGGAAGAGTTTCAGAGATGGACGCGTGCGAGAGAGCTGTCATGACCACATGAGACGTTTATTCGTATTTTTTAGTATGTGAACGCTAGCTATCGGCGCTGATATACACGTACTGACATGGAAGATACGGGAAAAAGAGGGACACAGAAAACTGAGTGTATAGATTGGGGTAGACTAGTTTGTGGACAAACGCCGATAACAGCCAATAACGAAACACGGAAGGATATATTAGTAATGAATGCCCATGACGGACTACCTCAGCCGTCTCCAGACTGTGACAGATGCTCGGTAATATCAGGAGAGTGTCTCTATTATCATTATGGTTGTGATGGCAAAGATGACAGAGGTTGGGGTTGTGGATACAGGACTATTCAGACAATGGCTTCATGGTTGTGTCTTAATCAGCCTCTCACTGTGATCCGCAGACACCCGCCTAGTCTTTCTGAAATACAACAAACTTTGGTGGAAATAGGGGACAAACCCGATTCATTCCTGGGTTCTAGGGAGTGGATTGGAACATTTGAGGCAAGTCTTGTTCTTGACCAGCTCTATGATGTTCCCTGCCGCATACTGCATGTGCGATATGGCAAGGAGCTTGATCAAACTGTAGAAGATCTTCATGACCACTTCCTTACCCGTGGGTCGCCAGTTATGATGGGAGGAGACAGGGACAATTCCTCTAAGGGGATCTTAGGTGTGTGCACTGGTAAATGGGGGAGTTATTTGCTTGTTATGGACCCTCATTACTTCGGCTGTCCCTTGGATAAAAAGTCATTGCAAAGTCAAGGTTGGGTTTCATGGACAGCAGTTGGTTCTTTGGATCGGTGCTCTTTCTACAATCTTTGTCTCCCTCTTACTGCTAAGAAGTGACAGTGGCTGTTTCACCCAATCACTGAATAAAATAATAACTAAATAAAAATGGCATTGACATTCATGCTCATTTCTTTCATGTGCCTCAAAGCTGTCACAGCAAGAGCAAAGTAATATTTGAATATCAAACCATGAAAACAAACTGATAAATGAACAGAAATATGTGACTGTACAGTAGACACTGAATTTTATTTTTACATTTATTTCACAGATGAGACTTGTAAGTGTTAACAGCATACTGGTGTCTGTCACACTGTTGTGTTTACATTTAATCTCATTCATTTACCCAAAATGTGCTTTAGCTTTTCAGAATGTTAAACAACATGTTAACATCTAATAAAGGTAAAGATCATACCAGAAATAAAGCTCAGTTGTCTCGCTGGAATATTTAGCACATATATTGTTAATCTCTAAAATGTATCTTTGAACTACTTTTTCCCAAAGAAAAAGATAAGTAAATCATTATGTATTTTAATGTGTGATGAAGGGGGTTTAAATGCCTTAACGGGATAGTTGATGCAAAAATGAAAATAGTTTATTTTTTCTGCTGAACACAAAAGAAGATATTTTGAAAAATGTGCGTAACCAAACAAATGCTAGTTCCCATTGACTTCCATAGTATGGAAAAAAAAAACTATGGAAGTCAACGGAGACTAGTTACCCACATTCTTTAAAATATATTTTATGTTCAACCGAAGAAATAAACTAATACAAGTTTGGAACAGCATGAGGGTGAGTAAATGATGACAGAATTTTCATTTTTGGGTGAACTATCCCTTTAATTCAATGAATTAAAACATTAAATTTTACCATTCATTACAAATGCAATGCAAATGTCTTCATATTAATCTTAATGTAATATCTGCAATTCTGATGAAAATGAACCCCTTGGATTGGTTCATTATCCAATTCTAATCTTTACACATCTGACACACAGTCACTGTAAAAGATCTGGAAGTTCTTGTCCACCTCCATTTTGCCCTTGAGAAACTTCTCCAGATTCTTGATGGGAACCTCCACCATGTGGTTGTTCACACGATCATTAAGACCGTAGGCGCCGAACGCCGGAAACTTGTACCGCTCTGAGTAGGGAGCGTTGTGATCGTAATCTGTGCAGCAATAGGCTGTCCACATGAATTCTGGGATGGCGACACGATCTAGGTTATCACGTCGAATCATATTACCTGATGTTGTCACACCAGTGATCACATAAGCCTTTCCGTGACAATAGTTGTTCAGCCGTTTGCGGGTAGCTTCTACCTGTGTGCTCCAGGGACCAAAATTGAACTCCCTTATCAGGGGAACTACATTGGTTAATGTGTAGGTGGCAGCTTTGTCCAGTGGGTCTGCCTGATGCTCATCTGGGTTCATTTGGCCGCGTTCATATTGCACCACATCGGCGTAGTCTTCTAACACAGCCTGCGTGTCTTCAAAGTTTTTGTGCATTAAGGAAGCCTGTGGAAAGGGTTCCATGTTACTGCTTCCTTTCTCAGTTGCCAGCTGTGCAAAATGAGAAATGCAGGTGATTAAGATGGATTTAGATTCCCAGAAGCATGAAGAGAAAGAAGATTAAACACACTCGTCAAATGTAATGATTACAATACCCAGATCACATTCAAACATTTCAGGAGAGAAACATTCAAATTCTGTATATATATATATAGTATTGAAACATATTATTGATTGATTGATTGCAAAGTCAGGTAACCATTCAAAAGTTTGGGTGGTAGATTGTGTTTTTCAGTCTGTTATGCTCACCCAGGCTGCTTTGGTTTGATTAAAATAAGAGAAATATTGTGAAGTGCTAGTAAAAGTTGATTTCAATATATTTTAAAGTGTAATTTATTCCTGTGATGACAAATCTGAATTTTCAGCAGTCCTTATTCCAGTCTTCAGTGTCACATGATCTTTCAGAAATCATTCTAATATGCTGATTTGCTCAAAAAACATTTATTATTATTATTATTAATGTTAAAAACTATTGTGCTGCTTAAAATAATTGTGGAAAATATAATATGTTATTCTTAGCACACACTCACCTGTGGTTCAAACATCCAGGGAATGTCTACCCGTTTCTCCCCATCCGATTTCTTAAAGGTGTATGCTGAATAGATGGGGATGTGTTTTTTGGGGTCGTAGAGGGTCACAAACCGAGGGTTGTCCACATAGCGCTGGCAGATCTTTTTTAGGGAAGTACTGAGGTAACCTCGTGGTGGAGTGCCCATATAAAGGAAATCCTTACAGCGATCTACTTGGGAGAAGTCGTCCACCACTCCGGCTTGTGATCTTAATATCAAACACATCAGTGGGATCAGCAAGGTTCCAAACCAGGACCAGCAATAGACCGTGAGATTCATGTTGTCCTAAAAAGTTTAAATTGTTGTCTTTCTTCTTTGTGAAATGTTCTTTGGACTGACCTAGGTAGGACAGTATCACAAGAAATAATTTCAGGAAAAAAAACTCCCTTTTCTGTGGCTGGTTTCTTCACTGTCTCCAATGGACTGTCTTTATCTCTTTTAAAATTGACTGACTCTTCACTGGTAGGTGGAGAATAAAATGAGAGCCACTGAATTTCTAATGCAGAGTACAAAGTACATGCAAAACCATGTTCGGAAAGTCTGATCTACAATAATACAAACTTCAAAATTGATAAGACGAACTTCAGTGTGCCATTATCCTCATCAACATGCAAATCAGCAAGGTAAATTTGCTCACTGCTGGTGGAATGTTCATTGGCTCCTTAAAGGTGAATATAGTTTTCTGGTCAGCCAGCAACCTGAGCCTGAATAGGATGTGATAGAAAAGAACAGTGACTTTAAATTGAACTAAATGCTACTTTAAGACAAACGTTATACAATCGCATGTGATTATCTGAATGAAACACTCAATAATCTACGTAAATATGAGAACAATAAACTGCTAATGCTATATGGACTGTTAATTGGCTTATCTTTCCATGTTGCACCATTGTACTCAGTTCAGTAAAAAATTACAAATACTCTTACACATACCTTCCAACAATAACAGTAGATCAGGCTGTAACTATATGATTAGTCACCACTGAATTGTGTTCACAATTTCAGCAGTTAAAACATCTTTAAATTCACATTCATATACACACTATATCAACAAAGTGATATTTAAATGCAGTGCTATAAGCTATGTAAAGTCATGGACACAGTCACATCATGCTCTGCAGTGTGGCATGATAATATGGAAATCATCTAAGAGTAGGACAAAGTCTGACAGGTGACTTTATTCTCTTCTCAGGTATAGTGTAGTCTTGGCTGACTGCATTTAATTTAAATAAAAAAAATATTACAGCACAGACATAGAGCACTTAGTTTCCTAAAGCTAAATCTGGATCTCCTTAGCTCTCTTGCCAGCATCTGCTGCAAGCCACACCCACTGGACATTATTTTTTATTAGTTTATTTACATTATTCTCTTGACTGGCTCTTGAATTCATTATCATTGCACAGATGCTTAAATTTAATGTTCACAAATTCTTCTTAACACTAAAATATATCAGCATGATCAAAACCTAATGAAACTTTTTGCTCAGTTTCAGTTTCAGTTACACACACACACACACACATATATATATATATATATATATAAATTGCATAATTTTTCTAAAGGTTCAATAAACGTTTCCATTTAAAATAAACACAATTTTCGGACAATTATTTCATATGTAAGGCTTTACACTTTACAGGGTTGAGAAGCTTTCATTCACTTCCTATTGGTATGTGTATTTTCTGTGAGACAGTCTTTGAAAAAGATGCTCACGCTTTTGTCCATGCCTGTCTGATTTTTCAGGAAGGTCTCTAAAGCTTTCAAAGGCACTTCTGTAACACTGTGTCCCACTATCTCATTCAAAGCATATGCTGCATAAGTGGGAAACATGTATCGTACATCATAGGGTGAATTTCGATCAAACCGTGGACAGCAATAAGCGGACCACAAGTGCTTTGGGACGGCCATGCGGTCCTCTCTTCCTCTTCTGATGGTCACCCCTGATACAGTCACCCCAGTCACCACATAGGCAGCACCACGACAGAAGTTATTCAGGCGGCGGCGCACTGTATCAATATACACGGCCCAAGGACCCTCTAATAAGTCTGTGATCTGAGGCACCACATTTGTGAGTGTATAGGTAGATGCTTTATCTTGGTTGTCTGCCTGGTGCTGGTCAGGGTTAAGTGGGCCACGCTCAAACTCCACTGCATCAACATAGTCTGCTAGCACAGCCTGGCTCTCCTCAAGCAGTTGATCGGTTTCACCACTAGAGGGCAACTCTCTCATGCTTCCGCTTTCGTCAGCAGAAACCAGCTGGGAAAAAGAACAAGAAATCCATATAGAAGCTCATATTGACAGAACAATAAAAGTATATGGACAGTACCAATTAGTGTTATGTGGTGATTTCTCTGTTGTCAAATAAAGACTATTTTGTTTAAATGATGTAGAAGATTTAGAAACTAAGGTAATATGCTACCTGTGGTTCATACATCCAGGGTGTGTCCATCCTCCTCTGTCCATCTGACTTTTTGAAGGTGTAAGCCGAATAAAGTGCCAGTCGACGACTGCCGTCATACAGTGTGGCATAACATAGTTTATCTCCATAGCGTTGGCATATCCTCTTCAGATTGCCCCCTCGGATACCTGTGGGTGCTGTATGCATGTAAAAGAACTGACTGCATTCTTTAAAGCTGTCAGAGACCGTGCCGCCTGCTAGACACAAACCTGTCAATAAAAGAAGCCTAAAGATAAAAATCTTACAAAGAGCCATCAGAAAGTAAAAAACAGAAGATAAGTTATCAGTGTTTGTAACAAAATTTCCAGTTTTTAAATGCAAAGACAGGCAGATCCATCTGTTCTTCCATGGTGTTCCAAGCCAAACTGATAACCTGGAAGAGTGAAAGCCACCACATGCAAAGTATCACCTCTCTCTTACCCTGCCATGTGTAAACCTATTTGACCAATGGAACAATGGAAGAAAATGGAAGGTCTTGAGAACAGAATGAACAATCTCAGATTCAGCTCATAAAGGAATTTGGCTTAATTATGGCAATCACGGTATGTCTCTTGAAATAAAATATAAGCACAGCCCATTGCTCCCACAATAATTTAAAAATGTCTCATAATATTTAAACAGGAAGTGAGGATACACTATTCTGTCATCAATGTGTTTTTGGAATACATCTTGGCATAAGCATGGCATTCGTAGTTTTCATGTGATGTCACATGGGCAAAATGATGCCCGCCGGTATTTTTTTTAAATTAAGTTTACCAGGATTGTACTAAGTACTAATGTACCAAGACAGTGATATTGACATACCAAACTTAATATACAACTTTTTGATGATGCATAGGCCTACTATGTATGCTCGTTAAACGTTTTCCCATAGGAAACCATTATAAAGAAAATGCTTAATATGGTTTAATGCATTTAAGACTATTTAGTTTAGCCTTATTAATAAAACAAACTATATGTACGGGCAAGCAAATGAACCCAATGAACACAACGCTCGAAGCCCCCCCCTTAAGGACTGTGTATATTTTTCTTCTTCTGTGAAACAAAAGATAAATGTGTCCAGAAGATTTATCATTTTAGTAGGCTACGACGGCGTTTTAGTGCCACGTTAAATAAAAAAATAAAAAAATAAAAAAATCTAAGACTACGAGATTAAAGTCGTAATATTCTCGAAATATTTCGACTTTATTCTTGTAGTAGGCTATTTCGACTTTAAAGACACTGTAAAACGAGGGAGCGTTTTACTCCAAGGGGGCGTTTTCCCCCACTCTACCCTGTATTTCGCAGAAATGCCATGTTCTCCTATGAGTTTCGTTTTAGATGTAAATCAAAGTTTCATTTTTGGAGTTAGGACTAAACCACTGAAAAATATGTTATTGTTACGTTTATGCGCAAATGTAATGAACAGCCTTCAGTTAATTCGGAGACAACGAAAATCTAAGCAAATGTTTTTGTAAAGCACTTACACTAACAGTAAACGCTGTCGCTGTCGCAGTGCTTTTGAAATAGTTGCCTAAATGGTTTAGTCTCTCACGTTACAGGGTACAAATTTGTCAGGCGTGGTTAGATTCCGTTAAAAGAAGACTGGCTACAACTTTGAAATGCAGAGGATTTCTTTCACTTGACAAGTGGATAACCAATTGTAAGTACTTTCAGTATTAATCGACAAGATTTGCTGAATCACTGTCTTTATTTGCCTAGAGTTAGGCTATATGTTATTGTAAATTCAGCCTCAGCTAATATAATCTTTCTCATATGACAATAGCCTAGATTTTTCCCCCCACCCAGGTAATGATAATAGACTACCATTCAGAGTGGTGAAAGAATATTTCTGTTAGGCTTATACAGGCGTTAAAAGCCTAATAAAAGACAACATTGCTCCGCTGGTGTTTGATTGCGTTGCCGCGCAACTCCAGTGAGCGCACGCTAGTCTCTTCAGTGTTTCGCAGTTGGACGCGGTTATTTTTCTGACTTCACTATCCCATCATGAGGCAACTGAGTCGCTATAAACATGTGGTGATATACATTTACAGTCTATGTGCTATACAAACGTATCACACGTGGTTGTTGTTTTAGAATTTATTTTAAAGAAATACATTTGTACTGTTTATCCGAAGCGACTTACATTGCATTCAAGGTGGGCCTACACGTGTTTTTTTTTAATCAGTTCTTGCTATCCCTGGGAATCGAACCCACGACCATGGCGTTGCTTCGTGTCGTGCTTTACGCGCTCCGATACGCACTCATTCAGGTGAGCTGTTTTCTGTGAAGAGTAAAGCCTGCCTGATTTGATTCGCTATCTCAATCATTTACGAGGGCTGAGGCGGACCAACCTACAAACTTTTAAAGACTTTTTGTCATCCTAAAGCTGCGTTCACACTAGCAGCGACTTTTGTCGCTGCATGTCGCCATGGGGCTGGCGGCGATGATGTTGTGGGCGTTCTCACTACTGGCTGCCTAGTAACTTCGTTGTTGAGAAACAGAGTTGCGACACGCTTTGATCTCGCCGCCACGCGGCCACGTGGTTCATGGAGCTCTCAATAGTTCCAAAGAACGTATACTATACTCTTTGATAGTTCCAAACATCTCCGCGTTGTCAATATGTTTGAATGGGTTTAAGTAGGATAGACAGCAGTTTCTCTATATTTGCAGCAATTTCTAGTGATTATTAACACATCATGTGCATTGATTGTGTATTGGTAACTATGCTGACTACGTTTTACAATCACATTTTATTCTGGGGAGTGATGAAGAGACAGCATTAATATTTTTTTCTAATATGCTTATTATTTATGTTACAATTAGCGTAGTATTTAGGGTTAAAATAGAGAAAATGGTTTTAAATTCCAGTGCAAAGAGGCAAATTAGAGGCGTTTGGTGGCCAGAAAAATAATATTCCTATGTAATGCCATGGTTTAACCACTAGATGCCCGTATGGCTGTTTGATAAATATAGCCTATTTTGCTCTACTCTAGTTGCTGTAAAGGGTTTTACCGGTCATAATAGCTTATTTATTTATTTTATGTTTTGCATTGTGTATTTAGACATTACCAAACACTCAATGTTTATAAGTTTTGCATTTTTTTTTAAAATGTTGAATTTAAAAAGATTACTCACATCCCAGTATTATTTTTATGACATTTATGTAAGAAGACAATATAAGTGCATGTTAAAAAAAGGCCTTGTATTCTTGTATTCCTTTAATGGGCAGTCTTCACTGAAACTCATTCAACTTCCTACAGGGAGAGAAAGATTGCAGAAAGACTAAAAACGTAAAAATATGACAACTAGCATCTGGTTATGATCACTATTAAGGTGTTTCTCACGTTATCTAACTGCAAATATAGCATAACTGCCTATTATCTAAAACTAAACATTAACTATAACGCGTTTCATAAAATACAACTACTGGCCAGATTTCCGAGAGGTAAACTAATGCGTTAAAATGGCAAAAACTGCTGCAATTTCCTCAACTTTGGCGAGTGTGTTTGAGAAGCACTGAAATTAATGGGATTCAATACTGGAACTATTGGTTGTTTGGAACCACTGATCTATATATTTGACTGGATCGCTCATTGCATTCTAAACTTAGGGTGACCATAGGTGCCATTTTCCCAGGACTCGTCCTGGCCAGGATTTCTATATTGCCTAAAATATCTAGGTTTTGGCTTTGTTTTGCGTGTGCAGACCGATCGGTGTATGACATCAAAGTACCATACAGACGGTTGCTTTCGAAACGCTCTCGAGGTACTTTGATGTCAAACACTGATCGGTCTGAGCCGCACTGCTTTTAAGTCGAACACACCTAATATGTACGCGTAAATTGCATCGCTTTGACCGTAGATCCCACCTTCTCACACGCCATGATTGGTCCATTATGTACAATGCTTGCATGTTATTGGTCAAACTACTTTTCGATCATTACCTTCAGCAAGCATGAAAACAGGAAAACAAAGCCAAAACAAATCCTGGCCAGGACGCGTCCTGGGAAAATGGCACGTATGGTCACCCTACTAAACTGCCATTCGGCTGTGAAGCCACCGGAAGTGTCCGAGCCGCCATCTTACTATTCCCTACCGGCAGAGAGCATCATTGACTGACAGCAAAAATCTTGATCTAAAATCCCCCAATTTGAAGCATATCAATCACACGGGATTCGTTTTTATGATATATGTATGTAAATTAATTATTACTTCAGATTTTATCTGCAATGTTTATGGTCTTTTCGGGCAGGATAAGCGATATTGAAATCGTTTAGGTGGGTGTGTCTGCTGCGCACTTACCGACACAGGTAACTGAACCAACACAAAATATAGGCTATTTACGTACGCAATTAAGCAGGAAATATTAAACATGAATATATATATATCTGGTATAAGTCCGTACCGTATGTAGTCAGTGTTATTTATCTGAATAAGTTATGTGTATATTTTTAATGTCCTGATTGAGCTACATCTATTTCAGACTCTCCAAAATTGCGCTAATTCTATGGCATTTTATTAGCAGTATATGTCGAATTAATCATTAATTTAATTAATTAATTTAACGTTTAAATCATTATCTGCTTCAAAATGAATGCTGTTAATGAAATCATTTTGAAACATTTGCAGTCAAATAATAAAATGAATAAAAACACTATAACAAAATTACATAAACAGTGAAATAACTGTACAAGGCGAATTAAGGTATATGTGTATACAAAGCATAAATCTTTATTCAGATTTCAGAATGAGCACTTTGTCATTTGTAATGCATATGTTGAACGTCTGATGTCCATCATGTTTATCTGATATTCGCTACTGTAATGTATATGAACATAACTTTTTAATACGCAAGGGAAATTTCTAACATTAAACAAATAACCGTTTACATGCAGGACGTTTGCATTGTAAGAATGTACAGGAATACTTCAGATATAAAAACGCTGACTTGTTAGGTGATGTTTTCTCATTAAAATCATACGATTTCCTATTCATTCAATAGAATTTATGGGAATACTAGGGAATACCAATATGGCGGCGAGGCGGCTTCACTTTTATGATGTCATGAGCAATCCAGTTCTCTATTATAGATCAGTGTTTGGAACTATTGGCTGCTCCATGACACGCTTTACTTCCGCATTCCTCAGTTCCTATGGAAGCCTATGGGAGTGTCGCAACTCTGTTTCTCAAGGGCTCTGAGAATACCCATATTACTTTGAAAACAAATAAAAACCGAAAAATAAATAATAAATAAACCAAAATGAGTTAAAATCTTTTGTAAATAAGATAAGATTGTGGGATAATCTATGTAGTGAAACTACATGACAATATTTTACATGGTTTGATTCCTGAATACTTTTTCCGCCCACGAGGGGGCATTGTTGAGTCAGTAGAATAAATGCAATGCTAGTTGGGAGTCCAAGGGTGTCTGAGTACTTTTTACTCAC